TTTCTAAAAATTAAATTTGTTGAAAAGTAAGAAAACGATTTCCTTAGTTTTTTTACTTATTAAACTATTTCCTACATCTGTAAGTCCTGCAGTGCATGATGTTTCCAAAAAGCCTTCGGGAGCTTTTTGATGTTATCAAAGCCTTAGGGTCATCTGTAAGTCCTACAGTGCATGATGTTTCCAAAAAGCCTTCGGGAGCTTTTTGATGTTTTCAAAACCTTAGGGTCATCTGTAAGTCCTACAGTGCATGATGTTTCCAAAAAGCCTTCGGGAGCTTTTTGATGTTTTCAAAACCTTAGGGTCATCTGTAAGTCCTACAGTGCATGATGTTTCCAAAAAGCCTTCGGGAGCTTTTTGATGTTTTCAAAGCCTTAGGGTCATCTGTAAGTCCTGCAGTGCATGATGTTTCCAAAAAGCCTTCGGGAGCTTTTTGATGTTTTCAAAGCCTTAGGGTCATCTGTAAGTCCTACAGTGCATGATGTTACCAAAAAAGCCTTCGAGAGCTTTTTGATGTTTTCAAAGCCTTAGGGTCATCTGTAAGTCCTACAGTGCATGATGTTTCCAAAAAGCTTTTGGGAGCTTTTTGATGTTTTCAAAACCTTAGGGTCATCTGTAAGTCCTGCAGTGCATGATGTTTTCAAAAAGCCTTCGGGAGCTTTTTGATGTTTCCAAAACCTTAGGGTCATCTGTAAGTCCTACAGTGCATGATGTTTCCAAAAAGCCTTCGGGAGCTTTTTGATGTTTTCAAAGCCTTAGGGTCATCTATAAGTCCTTCAGTGCATGATGTTTTCAAAAACCTTCGAGTCATCTTAAGTCCTTCAGTGCATGATGTTTTCAAAACCTTCGGGTCATTTGTAAGCCCTTCAGTGCATGATGTTTTCAACATTTCCATCCTGCTCAAAAGAAGTCAAATGAAAAAATTATTGTCTTTTTCGTCTTTGCTCTATTCTTGTTAACACAAGGATGAGCAAAGAGGGCCAGCTGTAGACATCAATTTTTTCATTTTAAATTTAAATTTATTATTATTATTAAAATTATTATTATTATTATTATTATTATTATTATTATTATATATTATTTATTAAATATTACAAAACCCAAATTAGAGGCCCAATAATCCCGGAAGCCCAAATTTGATGACCCAACAATAACCCTAAACTCATTTAGGGTTTATTTCATCACAAGCAGCCGCCTCTCCAAGCTTCCAGAAGACCCCAGCCGCTCCACGTTGACGATTCAGCCTCCAACCGCCTCGCCAGAAACCTCTACGTCGTTCTGTCGTTGCCACGACGCCAACAGAAGACTCCAGAAGGCCAGCTGCCCTCCACACGTCGCGGCTATAGGGTGAGTCACCACATAGCTCGGTGACTCACCGAACTTCCCCCTCTGGACCGGTCCGAGCATGGCTCTATGGTGGCTATAAAAGCCACCGGATCCTGCAAAACAGATGGCAAGATAGAGAGCAACAGAAAAAAACAGAAACGAGAGAAGGGAAAAAACGAAGGAAGACAGAAAGCTACCAACGATCCCAACCAACAACACAGCAACCAGAAGCCAAAAAAAAAAGAGAGCTTACTCGGTCATCGGAGACTTCGAAACATCACCGGAAATCTTCGAACTTCAAAGGTAAAATCCTAGATCTAGGAAATCCTAAGGGTTTTTAGGATAAATAAAGGCCTTATTCAGAATTAGAAAGTGAAGATCTAAGTTTTGGGGTATTTTGTAAGTTTTCGGCCACCGTTCACGGTGGCCGGCGGTGGTGACCGGTGCCGGAACACGGCTGCCGGCCAGAATTGATCTCCCTCCGGTGGAGGGTTTAGAGAGAGGCCAAAGAGAACTCTGGTTCTCTCATTTGAGAGAGAGAAGAGAAATAAGAGAGCTGGCCTTTCGGGCCAGCCGTTTCGGGTATAAATACCCCTTCCCAAACGACGCCATTTTGGGAGGGGTATATATGTAATTTCGTGCATGGCCAAACCTTTTCTACAACCATCCTAGTTTGTAATCCTTACGTTTTAGTCACTAAAGCAAATTTTAGATCCTTTTAATTCGGTATTCGAATTTTACATATATTCATTTTAGTCCTTTACATAAAACAATATATATTAGGTAAATTACTGATTTAATCCTTTAATTTTAATAATTAATATTTTAATCCCGAATGCATGTTTTTAATTTATTTTAATATGATATTCGAATTTAATATAGTTTTATTTTAGTCCGTAAATTAATAAATGAGTAAAATAACATGTTTAATCCCTCTAATTTTAAATAATTAATTATGAATTAGGTATTTAATTCTATTAGGTTATAATTTAGTCACTAATTTTAATTTTTATTTATTTTTTACAAGTTTTATTTATTTTAATATATAGTTTTAATTTTATTCATTGTTTAGTTATATGTTAATTTTATATGTTTACTTTTAATTATTATTACTATTATTATTATTTAGCCATAAATATATATATTTATATAATAAATAATATTTATTTTATTTATTAAAATCTTATTACTTTTAACTTATTTTAATCCTGTTTTAATATTTATTTATTTTTCAATATTAAGAAAGGGTAGTCTTAAAACAACTGGATGTCCATTTTCTGATATTTTTAAATAAATAAATATCATATTTTATAAATTATATATTAATTGTTTTAATTATTTATTTATTTTTTAATATCGAAGAAAAGAGTTGTCTTAAGGCACCTAGAAGTCCTTTTCTAATATTTCTAAATAAATAAATATTTTATTTATAAATATATAAATTAATATTTTTTTCATAAATATAATTTTGAAATAATAGGATTATAAATTAAATATATTTTTGAAAATTTAAATTTCTAATAATAGAGACAATTTATAATTAAAAAGTACTAATTTTGGGCGTTGTAGGGGTGTTAATCCTTCCCTAAACGTAACCGACCACGAATCCCTTTTTATTATTAAAAAGAACGAATTTTTGGTTAAAACGCAGACTTGTTTATCTTTTAAATGATGTTTTCTTAAAAACTCTTTTAAAAGATGATTTTTTAGGTATTCGACCTACCTGACCCAAAAGACCGATGGTGACTCCCAAAATATTTTTTTAAAAATCAAAATCATTAATTTATTCACATCACTTTTCCCGCCAAGTAAAAAATTCGTGTCCGGACGAAAACCGGTTACGACAGGTTCTTCTAACAATATTTTATAAATTAAGTGCCGAGTATATACACAAATAAGCAGTTTAGTAGTTAGTAAGCCTTAAAAATCAAGGTAACTCTTGGATATAAGAAGTTGAATTCCATTCAAGGAAAGTAATTCTTGGATATACCAATTTCGATTCTACAAAGTAATATGCAGAAAAAAGAAGGCAAATTATTCATATTTCCATATACAACTCAACGGTAAAGGGAAAATATATACAACAGTGACCATTTTATTTGATTTTGTTGGAAATAATATTGATGTAAAATAAACTTTCTAAAAAGATTATTAAAAGAAATAAAACGGAAATGCTATTGTGCCGTGAATGAATCATTGTTTTAGAAGTGATTTTACACATCCATATAATTGCATAATGAATGTCATCGTTATTACTTAAAGTGATTATTCTTTTAACAAGAGAATAAAACTTGAACTTGTTAAAATATGAGTTAACTCGTAACACAATTAATTTCTAGTCTAATTCAATTTCATAAAAAAATAATAATTTTAGCTAATATACCTTAAGATGCCTCTAGCACTCTTGAAAGATGATCTAACATCTTTCGAGGAAGGTAGCTAACTTTTCACGGTTAGGCAAATGCAAGTGCACCTAAAATGAGTACGTCCACCCTAAAATCCGATTTTTTTATATTAAATATTTATTTTATTGATGGTATCCACTCTAAAATTTTGTTTATGCTCACCCCATACAAAAAAAATCTATTATTAATATATATATGTTCACCTCCAAAATATTTGTGTACCCGCTATTAACAATTACATAGGTGATTATATTAATTACATCTTAATATAGATCATCTGAATCAAAACTAAAAATCATTAAGAGCATTTAATAAGTTCACCCTCCAAAGTTTAAATTGGGTGGATTTACCAAGTCTGTTTCAATAGGATTACCCAAATCTGGTGATAAGAATTCATTGGGAGAAAAAACTCAACCTTCACAAATATACATACGGGCATACATAATGAGTTTATTATGGTTTCATCCAACCACGTTGAACCTAAAAGAGTAGATTGAGTATCCACATTGAACCTTCAACGTCACTGTTTATTTTGTTCTTCAATTTCAGCCGGTGGATTCCTTCAGAATTGAAAAGATCGAAATGGGAATCTTACATCAAATAAATAATCTTGGTATCGTTGGAATATATTAGTTTTGTACTCTAAAACCCGACTAATAGGTCTCTAATCATTGAATTCAGGGGCGTTGATTCAGTTTATGCATATTGATATTTAGACATTTTCATCCCTGATTAAATTGGGGGGAAAATATCTGATCATGAAATAGTCTCATGAGAGAAAATGATGGGTTTGTGGCCACCAAACAGCAAGGGATGAGGAATGTGAGGCATGCAATGCAAAAGGCCACACTCACTCAGTCTAACCCAAAACCCTATCCTATTTCCTATCATCAACACAATCAAAACTCGAATCATCCTACCTACTCCAACAGTGTCTAAACTTGAATCCAACCAAACTTTGGTAACACAAAATAATAGTACAATCCGATGGATATAAACACAAACAAATAAAAAAAAAATAAGCTTCAAACTAATCCAAAATCGGAAACAAATATCAGGTCATTTACTGTAACAAAAACAATCATGCATACACATACACCATCTATAAAATAACTTACCCAAGTTATTTGATCAGCCATGGATTCCTTTCTTTATATAACTTCTATATTGTATGCTTGGAAGCTTTTCACTCAAATTGGAGATACAAAGCAGAGAGAAGAAACTAAGGACAGAAAAAGGAATGACGATTATGGTTTAAAGAATTTCAAAAGGTAAACAAAGAAGGGTGAATTTTCATACATTTAGAATCTTTCAGTCACACAGAGTCAAACAAGAGAAAAGCGTATTTACCATAGAGTAAAAAGTTAAATAAACAAGCAACAGATACAAAAACCCAACAAAAATTTACAGGGATTCTCACTGTATTTATGTAATGGCACAAATGGGGAGGGATTAACATGTAAAATATATCACAAGACATTGTTTACTATAAGGATACTCACGGGTAGAGAAGAGAGCATCGGCATCCAAGGTAATGACAAAAAGAAATTTCCAAAAAACACCTCTCTCAATCATTATACATGTCGGTTGGGGAAGCGACCAATTAGTCTGCACTGTTCCGGAAGCAAAGATGATACTACTTGTCCGTTGAGGGGGAAAAACTCACCGTCAATGCCGCAACCATTATGTGTGTGTTTCCCAGCCTTAATCTTAACTGATTTCACCTTATTTCAATGGAAGTTAAATCATATGTCAATACTTATATGCATATTGGAACCAGTTCACTGATCAAACATAGGAATCTGCAAAACACCCATTATTTATCCCAAAAACAAATCAAAGAGCATGAGGAAACTATCCTTGTGTGAAAACAGTGCACATACTACAAACAGCATGGTCAAACCAGCAACAATTCTGACCGACAACTTTTACAACAATCTTGGGGCTCAACAATAAAGTTTATAGGTTTGAACTATGAGGCTGTTTACTGAATAAAGTAAAAATGATGCTCATACCTTGACATATTCAACATATGGCAGTGAAACGTGTTTACCCATCTGTAGCAGCAAAAAGAATCTCATCAACCTCAGTCGCCCAGTCCCGTGAACTAAGAGTAAATCCATGGTGTTGTCATCGTGTTCAGCTCTTGGAGCAACCACCTGAGAACTCTGCACTGTTCTGCATGCATGGTTGCACACAATGATGCCAAGAAATGGTCCCTTGGTCACAACCCATTTATCTTCGAGTCTTGGAACAACTTCCTTGTTTATTCCCGACTCAACATCATCTGATGGTCCTGGTAGCGCAATCGGATTTTCCACATCCCAATTAGCCTCAGAGTCCCACTTTGGTTCCGCATCCCAAATTGGACCAGGATCAGACAATGTCGAAGATATATCCTCTCTATCATATGTTGCAGCACTACCCCAAGAACATCTTGAAGGATCAGGTGCTGCAGTCGATCCACTCCATCCTTTATCTGTCCTTGATTTAGATCTGGTCCGTGGCCAGTTTAGAGTTGAAGAGAGTGGTAACTGAGGATGAATAACTTCAGGCTCGGCTGTTACATTTCTTTTTCCAGATGACAGCCTTTTAGTCTTAGGATCAAGGCCTCGTACATACTCAGATGGTTCGGTGCTGGCATGAATGCTACTACTAGTGTCCATGTCACCTCCAGACATTCGGCTAGGAGTCATTATTGAATCAATACTAGATAAACTCGAGGCTCTAGGAATGCCTTCTTTGTATGACCTCCTCATAATGTCTGTGTACAGGTCTGACATGTCAACTACTTCTTGACCTTCTTGATCCTCCTTTTCTGCAGGAAGGTACTCCACTTCATAGTTGTATTTTGGCAAACACAAAAACTTGAAGAACCCAGCAACAAAATATCGTAGAGGACCAAATCGCTTCTGATATTTCTCAGAAAGTTTTAAGACTGAAAGTCATGAGAGAAACATACAATCAAAATTTCCAGATTAAGAACCCATAAAAGATGTGGATATTATTTTATGCACACATCACTGTATATGCTAATAAAGGATTTCACTCATTCTATACACAGAAAATCATGTATGTATTCTGAGTCTAATTTTCCTCTACTGTTGTTACAATAAAGATCAAAGCCAAACAGTCACTAGAATACAAATTCATTGTCAACAGAAACATCTGACATGAGTACATAAGAAATAAATTATTCTAGTTCAGGGTTAAGATAAAAGTAAAGGTGTACATGGTGCTCAACCTCAAATTGGCAATTTAATACCAAAATATTCAGCCAAAATCTTTAAATGATAAAAGATGGCTCGTCTAGGAGTAATTCTGATATGTGATTTCCATTATAGACATAAACTTATTACTTATGATGATGGGAGAACAAACAAGGATGGGTACATAAATAGCTTTTTCGTTACAGCGAGGGAACAAGAAACAAGTGAGAACGAAAAGCAGTCACCATTGTTGCATGATTGTAACGTGTGAGGATGAATGCTCAAGCCACTCAAAGGATAATCATGGTCAACAAGTGTAACTCGCACTTGAAACTTAGGCAACATAGTAAGTATTAATTTGACCGCACGCTTAGACTAAAGCATCAAAAAAGCAAGCATAGACCACATTTTAAAAAAGAGGAAGGAATAATTGTAAGAAGAGAACGGAGGTTGATTAAATATAGAAACCAGCAGACTTGTATCAGCCGGGAATGGATCAGGTCACCAGTACATACCATCGCTGACAAAACCATAATAGGAGACCGTCATTCCAAAGTGAATAATACCAGTCTGAATCCACTCAACAGCAAAAACATCTGTAGCTGTAAGACCTCCCTGAAACATAAAAGGGAGAACCACAGTTGTTGGTAACAAAAAGATTACTGGGCATTTAATGTATCTAAAACAAGAAGCATGTGTTATTCTCTCTTTTTTTCCCTTTTTTTTCTTTTTTTTCTTTTTTTGAAATTGAAGCATGCGTTATTCTTAAATATTAACAATTCCCCTTATCTCCATGGTTATTAAAAAAGGTTATCACCAACAGAAATGCAGCAGCATGAGATATTTCAATCAAACTTTGCATAGCAACATGTTAGGGTTATTAAGGTGTTATTAAATAATTTCAGACCCATGTTTCAAAACGGTTTTGAAAATCAATCTATAAAGGGAGAAACAAAACAACCAGAAAGAAACGCCAATCTCATCTTGAATTTCCTAAGCAGGTTTACCTTCACAATAGAAATCGAAGCAGAGATTGGATCTCTAACTCCAAGAACAGTCCAAACCAGTGAATTATCTGAACCTGCTGGTATAATTCCAATGGGTATAGAAATTCCTTCTTTCTGATTATCTCTACTAAGCAGACCATTCAGAACCTACAAATTTAATAGGATGAAGTAGTTGATAATAGAACTGAAATACCAGCAGAACCTAAAAGAACACAACCCCATCCAAAGGATGGTGAAGCTTTATATTCTATTACAATGCATACCAAAAAGCCACAAGTCCCTAAACAGTATCATAAAACCCTCAAACGAATCCCCCAATATAGAAAACCCAATGGTTTATGCTATATTAACGATGAACTAATCTTGGGGCTTATAATAAACTAAATAGCAGAATTCTGTGTAATGAGGCCTCCATCCGCCAAATGAACGGACAAAACTCTGTAGTAGAGAAAAAAGAAGCATCAAGCTAACGGCACAATTTTGTACTAGGTTTCCAGGTGATTTCTTGTAACTATTACAGAAGCTTGAGCAAGGAAGATATTTGTTATTCAAAGAGACGCAAGATGCATTATAGAGCATTACATGACAAACTTCATAGGAAAAAATATATTGTGAGCTTAATATATCGAAAGCTGACTACTTGAATGAAAGAACCGTAGGTAACGTTAAAATTGACATGACATGGCAATGAAAATTGATATAATTAGGGATGGGCATGGGACCCGAACCCGATCGGGTCGGGTCGGTTTTTTTTAAAAAAAAAAATCGGGGTTGGTCGGGTCGGGTTTTTAAATGTGATGTTCAGGTCGGGTTTTGTTTTAGAGTGAAAAATACCCGACCCGAAAAAAAATATAATTTTACCTTATATATTTAGGAATAATTACAATAATACCCCTCTATATATTATTTTTTTCAATTAAGTTGTTTTTATTGAATAAAAATAATATTTTTTATTATTTCGGGTCGGGTTTTTAAGTTATATATCGGGTCGGGGTCGGGTCGGGTGGACCAAAAACCCGACCCGACCCATGCCCATCCCTAGATATAATACACAATAGTAAAATATAAAATTCGATTTCAAAAGTTGTTCACGTTTAAGGCATAACACATTTCCAAATTTTGGTTGAAAGATCAAAATATGCAAAACTCTGTAACACATCAACTGATTGGTAAAAACTTCAATGGATAAAGATACAGCCTCAATTGAGAATCAGCCCTCCAAATTCAGAGGACAAATGGTTATACAAAACAAGACCTTTGTTACCGTATTAATTTGAAAACAAAATAAGATTTATGTTACAATATTAGAAACCATTTTGGAAGATGCAAGCATAGAAAACAGTGCAGTATTCTTCCCTTTACGAAGTGAAATTAGTTATAATTCCATGTTTATTGACTCCAAAATTTTAATACCATAAATAAGCAGGAGGAATATACTTGCATAATGAGTAAAAAACTGCAATGCAATTACAGAAACATAGGTATTACTCCTTCCCTAATGATTCAATCCTATCATACAGAGGTCACTCAGTCCCTCAAAAAATTGATCCATGAATCTCCCAATGACACAACGAATGCCTAATGCCTTAGAAAGGTTTATGAGTAATTCCACTTTTCAATGTAACTAAAATACTGATGGTGTTGAAATAGGTAGGGGGAAAAGAGACCTGGAATGAAAGGTTCTCTAGAGAAAACAGATAAATAAGTTAAAAACAAGTATCAAAATTGGAATAAAGTTGAAATGGCTAACCTCATTGATTATCCCATCACCACCAACGCATATTATTCCTAAAGGAAGTATAATGATTTAAATTCATGTTAATGGAGAAGATGATGACAATCATCAAAACCATAAGCAAAGAGACAATAAGTAATTAAAAGGCCAAGTATTACTACCATCAGGGCATGTGCTGATATCAACAGTAGAAGCCAGCCTTTTAGCATGGCTGGCAGATGTTGTTTTGACTACCTCCAATTTGAACCCTGCAAGCTGTCACAGTTTGCACATAACATGTGAAACTCAATGAAGCCCAAACTCCAAAACAGTTTTTTCTTGAAAATAATGAAAGAATATCACAAGAGTTGGAAAGCAGTGATCATACAACATCCCAAAGAAGCAATGAGTTAAAGAAAAGAGAAAATAAAGCACGCGGAAAAACATCATTATCCAAAAAATCTACCATTTGATCATCAAGTAGTATGTGTCAGTACATAACTAATGATGCCTTTATATATATTACTTCAAGGATATTCATCTTAAAAAGGAAATCCTAACAAGTAAAGTTTGCCAACTCCAGTATTTGAATTCAAAGATGCAATCACATGAAACGCCAAATATGCTGAATATCAATGGTACTCACCATGCAACAACACAGGAAAAATAAAACATAATTCAATTTTTATCTACACTTTCCCAGAGGCTATAGATTGGTAAATAGTTTTCCCATGACCTTCACCAGCATTTTCATTTTGATGATGATATCAGAGAAAAATATTCAACCTTCTATAATTGTATTTGTAGCAAAGAATACTAATGCATCCTCAGTTATCTGGAAGTGCTCCTATTAAGATCTCAAAGAATGATTGAACTAAGCACCTACAAGATTTAGATGCATCCAAATGAAGGTTAAATTAGCATTTTGATTCCCTAAGAAAGAAACTAAGAGACTAGACATCAGTTCATGTAAGAGAAAAAAATACACCAAGTATTTTTATTTATTTATAGGTGGTTGGTGGATATGGTAGAGAGGAAATCTACTAAGTTGAAAACAAAAGCAGCAATTACGATCAATGACAATCAATTCCAGTGCATCAAATCCTAAATAATGTTGAACAGTAATAGTATCTATACAAATTGGTAAAGATAAAAGATAAAAGAGCACACCTTAAATATAGGTTCAACAATTCCATGGAAAACTTTACTAGATCGACCCCGACCTGACCTTGGATTCAATATAACGAGCATTTTTGGTGGATTCCTGCACCTGAAGACGAGCTCAGGAGGAGCATCCATTGGAAACAATTCAGAAGAAGCTTGCTTCTTTGAAGAAACTAAAGGGTGAGGCAAACAATTGATGAAACACTGTTGATCTGCAAACCCACCAACCCATTGAACAGCTTCTTCTACACTAGAAGCCAAGAAACGAAAATCCTTTCGACTTCTCTTTGGTTTAATAAAGCATGAAAGGCCATAAGAACCCTTTTTTAGAGGGTAAGAATGCACAGTGAAATGTCTAACACCGACATTGTAAGAAACCTGTCAATATAAAAAATAAAAAATAAAAAATGAATAGACTGATTGCAAACCCAAAAAGGCCAAAATAAATACTAAATGCATTGCAAGGGTCTATTTCAGAGATTATATGTTTACCGAGATGACATCATCAAGAGACAAGACATGGGAACCCCAAACCAATGCCTTGCTAGTGAGTTTAGCAGCAACAGCTCCTTGGTCGGCAATATCAGTAGAAGAATTCTGCTCTACATCGGTGGGAGTAGTAATAGTCGGGGCATTCTTTCTCTTATCGAAAATGAGCTTCCCTGAGTAAACTACGTAACCAAGCAAATCCGACTTTTCATCCCCTCCAATGTCGATTCGATGCTCTTCTGTCTTAGGTTTATCAGTTTGATCATCCGCGACGAGGGCTTCACTGCGTTTGGAGGAAGCCTTGTGCTTTTTACTACGTTTCTCTGGGAACACAATTGGGGAAGAGTGGGTAGCTATTTGGGAGCACAAGCTCAGCCGCCTCACCGACTGCTGAGACGGTGGCGGTGGCGACGACGACACTCTCACAGACGGAGAATCACTACTCCTCGACAGACTCCCACTCTTCTGCATATCCGATCACGCGCTTCTGGTCCGTAATTGTAACCACCAAATTTCACAACTACGGAGAACAAATAAACAGATGGAGACATACAAAAGAGAAAAGAAATCTTTGTTTTCTTTTTTTTAATTCTATTTTTTTCCTCCTTAATAATCTCACGCCAGCTGTAGTAGAAGACCTAGAGATTATGATGACGCTGGGAGCTCGAAAGCCACGAATTGCGATCAGAGATCCCCCACAGCGCGAATCGTAGGAATAATCTGGCAGATCAGCTCAGGAATTTGAAATTGTTGTTCTATTTTCCTTTTTTAAACTTGGCTTTAAATTAAATTTGAGAACAATTTGGAAAGTATTTAGAGAGTTGACAAGAAATGAAAAATGAAAGCTGACCTTGAAAGGAAGGAGACGGCGACCGGAATGAAATGGGTCGAGATAAGCGGATTCGTCGATTGAAACCTAAGGTGAAGGCCCTTACCCTTTTCAGACTCATTTTCATGTTTTGTCAGGCGAAGGTATAATATATGATATTAGCCTACCTTTTTTAAAAATTAAAAAAAAAAAAGTTATTCCCACTCAACCACTATCTTTTCCTTATTATATTATGGGTAAATTGCAAATTTCATCAAACTTTCTTCTTCCTTCTATATTCTCCATTAGAGTTTAAATTATTATAATGTAATCACCAAAGTTTTGAGTGCTCTTATTTTGATCATTCTGTTATTAAATAGTTGATGAAGTTAAGATATAGCATGTGGTAATAAAATGGCATCATTTCAGAAAAATTAAATTTACACCAAAATAACATAGTTGTAGATCATACAAAACCCGACATTCTTCCTTTTCCTCATTTTTCCCTTTTTTTCTTAATTATTCATCCTCTCTTTTTCTCTCCATTTGTCCCGATTTTGTCTACCACTGATCATAGTCAACGACGATCGATGACTCCTAAAATTTTTCACCAAATTTGTTACACCAAACTTCATGAATCTAGTGTTAATATTCCTTTTCTCTTACGAATCTGCTCCTTTTTAGTTGCCTTTGAAGATCAAACCACACACTATGAACTACTTCTTGTCATCCTTTTTTTTAACATATTAGATTTCACTAAAAAAAATCTTTCAAAAGTCATAAAATCTCACTTGAAGCTTCTTATTTATTTTTGATATACTATTTTGACCATCGAATAACGGCGTGCCCAACATATGTTGTCCTCCTAATTTATTAGGATTCTTTTATTATTGTGATCATAAAAGTAATGCTTTAATTGTCGAAAATTAGAAAACTCAAAGCTTTTTGTATTTCTTTTTCTTTTTTTCTTGATGGTTTATTGGCTTCTCTTTTATAGGCAAGTGTTTTATTTGGTTGGGGAAAAAGGTGTCGGATCAGGTGATGGTGTAATGACTTGGGTATAATCTTGGTTCATGTTGAAATAGGGAAGGATGGTGGTTTTTAGCTTAAAGGTATGAATCGATAGTAGGTTGGAGTTTAGGAGCTTTTGGGTAATGGTTGGTAGTCGACGAATCGGGTCATGAGAAGATGGTTTGATTGCTGGTATGATTTGGCTATTGGTTCAATGGTGAACTCGATAGGTATAAGTGATGTCGATTTGCTAGTGTTTCAGTGGAGGTAGTAGTGGTTAATGTTGAAAGTGGTGATAAAGTGGGCAACAAGGGCAAAGGATTATAGTTCAATAAGATTCGGATGAAATGAAAGTCAAACTCGAAGATTATAACATGATGGTCTAAATATTTTGGAGTCTAACAACGACATTAACGATTGAGGTGGTGATTAATCACGACAAGCGATGATTAAATTTGAGTTAGTACCTACGTGCCTAAAAAATATTAAAATAAAACATATCGCCAGTTTGTAGCGGAGAAAATGGAGGATGATCAATAGAATCCAATGTCTAAAATTTAGTGATTAAAATGAAAAATTTTAAACTTTAATGATCAATATAGGAATAAAAGTACAACTGAGTGATGAAACTTGCGATTTGCAATTGAGGAAAAAAAAAGTTGATGGATTTGCAAGTCTTCCCCACGCACTACCAGGCTGCTGCTTTCCACAAACTGTTCCATTGTATTCCTATGTATGTTTTACAAAAAACAATTGAGAATAAAAATTAATACATAATTCTTTTTTCGACATTAATGCATAATTATCATTATAAATATAAGCTTTTATCAATTTAATTTTACTTCAATTAATATATTTTAAATATCTTTTGTTTAAATATAATAATTTTTTTGAATATAAATATAATAAAATTTAAATGTCTTTAATTTAGAAGTTGGAAATATAATGAATAATTTAGATATTGTAAAAAAATAAAACTGTTTTTTAGGAGAATAAGTAATACTACTTGTAATACAATTAATATGATGTATTTAATATATTACATTTTCATTAAGAATTATTACACTGATATAATTTTTTATATAGTTCAATATTTTATATATTTTTTAATTCAAGGGTTTTATTGCATGTTTAGCATGTTCAATTTTGATCTAATTAAAAATATTTAATCATTTATCACATTCATATATATTATATAATCTTCTTCATTTATATAAGCTATATGAATTATATTATTATATCCATTTATCATATATATATATATATAATTTTCTCCATTGATGTGAGTTATATGAATTATACTTTTATATCAAATAATTAATTTGTAAAAGTATTAATGGTATAAAATCTATTGTCGGATAATGTTTATGGTAAATTACAAGTTTAGTATCCTAAGTATAAAATATACTCGTAAGGTTTTAAACTATAAAAATATAATAAGATTTTAAACTATAAAATATACCTCATAATATAGATTATATATATATATATATATATATATATATGATTTTAAACTATACAATATAAATATACTCGTAAGATTTTAAAATAAAATAAAAAAAGAATATACCTCAATATATATATAGATGGATAGATATATATTTATAAAAATAAAATACATCTACAAATAAATAAGATTTCTGCAAATATATGTTTTTACTCTCGTAAATTTCATGAAATTTGAAACTTTCATATCGTGTTATGTTTGAAAAAAATTATAAAAAGTTAACCTGTAACCAAGCTGCTAATAACTGCTAACCATTAACGATCAACCGCTTCATAATGATTTGGTTACAATTAGTAAAATTTAATAACCATTATAACTGTTAATTGACCGTTTAAGCTAAACAGTACGATTAACCGACCATAAACATACCTAACATACATAATAGTTCCTTTATATGACCAGTTTCACATGTACTTACCTCTTTCAAAACCGCATGTAAATGGGAATGAATTTACATCAATAAAATAAATAAATTTAAACACAAAATAAATAATACTAATAATAGCTAAATAATGCTAATCATAATCTCTAATGGATAATCCCTAGTATCTTATCAACAACCCTTTAGATTTCTCATGAAATGTAGTACCATATATTTTATCAACAATTATAATCTCTGCTTCTTGTTGTTTTAACTTCTGTGAAATGGTATTGTGGTGCTGAGAATTTGAACCAGAAATAATTAGATAATATCATATTCTCTTTTGGTTAAAGGAAAGTGATTGAGTAAAGGATCATATCAAGAAATTCTTGAATATTTCTTTAAAAGTTGTTAGAAGATTTTGTATTTTAGCACCATTAATTATATTGTTATATGTTATAATTCATATGGTTTTTATCTTCTTGGAAGTATATTTATTCACATTTCTAGTTGTAACATCCCAAAATCAGGGTTAGTGACTAAAATGGAAGTTTTGAACTTTGAGGTCAGATTTTGAAAAATTAAAAAAAAATTAGGGACTTAATTGAAAATATTTTGTGAATGATGGTTTAGTAAATATTGAATGAAATAAGAGTAAATTGGTCTTTTCAAAGGAATGATTTTTATATTTCCTTTATAAAGGATATTACCACGTGGAAATGGGGGAAAGAAAGAGTAAAAGATATCCATAGCATTTTTCAGTCTTCTTGTTCCTCTCTACCGTGGGGTCTTGCATAAGGTAAGTATGCTTTTAAGTGATTTTCCTTTCATGTTAAGGTTGGTTTTGATTCTTGGAGTGATAAGAAAAGTTAATGAAATCTTAAGATTGCTTAAAACTCAAAGAGAATTAAGTTATGTAAGATTGAAGGTAAAGAGTTTTTAAGGGAATTATTGAGATAGAATTAGTAAATAAGTTTTAAAGTGAAATTTGTCTTGTCAATGGTCTAATTAAGAAGTTAGAAGTGATATAAGTGAATTAAAAACATGTTGGAAATTTGGTAAGATTTTTAGTTTCAAGAATTATGATAAGTTATTGAAGATGATAATGTGTTATATGGATATAAGAAGATTTGGATAAGTATAGTTAAGTCTCAAGGGTTAAAAGAAGGTTATGGAAGAAGAATTAATTGAGTTTGGTAAGATTTTTTTGGTTAAAGAAGTGTATTTTGGGCTAGAGGTATCGATATTGTTCATTTAATACCGATACTTCAAAGAGAAAATAAGTGATTATTAAGGTATGGATATCGATATTGGTTGAATGAGTATCGATACCATAAGGCAAAAATTTAAAAATTGTTCATGGGGCATCGATACATGGGAAGGTAGTATCGATACCAAGAGTACTGATACTATAAGGTCAGTATCGGTACCCATTTTTGAAATAAATATTTCGAATATAAATAGGGTATCGATACCCAAGCTTGGTATCGATACCATATCTAAGGAAGTATCGGTACCAAGTATGGGGGTACCGATACTACTCAAAGTGAAAATTGTATTAAGCATTTCGATTAGCTTGAATTATTAAGGATCGAATTATAACATTTAGAATTCTGATATGGATATCAAATGTATGACTGTGTAGATATTGATCGGAAGCGAGTATTTGATGAATCAACAAAATAAGACCGAGCAAGGAAGAAGTACGAGATCAATATTGATTAGTGAGGCCATGTGAGTGCATACTAGTATGAATTATGATTTGATGGGAAATTAGACTTGCGATAAGTCTGTTTCCGATATTTTGCATATATAATTGTATTGTGTGAACATGTCTTGTATTTTTATATGTTATGTGATTTATGTGGCTGTAAGTGCATAAAACCTAAGCTATATGATATAAGATTATGTACCGATGTAATAATATGAGAATGTTATATGATATATATGAGAAAAGGTATGTGAAAGTGATAATGTGATATGAGACTCTATGAGAATGTTACATGAGATATGTGATTATAAATGAAATGATACGAGCTGTGTGATACATGTGATATGTGAATTATATGAAAAGGATCTATGTGTAAGTGAACTATGTGACTATGTGAATATGTGATAAATATGAAAGATAATGCCCATGTTATGTTTCATGAGAGCTAGAGGTATAGTTGTCATGCCAAGAGTCAAGGGTTCTAAGTGGTCCTTCGGGATATATGTGTTATATGTGGTCCTTCGAGACATTTCTACGCGGTCCTTCG